TATTTTATTTTTATCTTTTTTTCGAAGCATAACAAAGTTATTAAACTAAAAATCATCAAAATAAATATATAGGGGAAAGTCTCATAACGCCGGACGGCATCTACCGCCGAACACTCTATTTAACATGTATTATTTAAGCGAGTATAAATCTTTTCATTTCAAAATACAAGTGAAAGGAGCGCGGGGGAGGGCACAAAGGTGCAGCACCAAGACTCACCTTTGACGCACACAGCGAAGGCCGTTCTAGTATATTTATGCATTTGCATTCGAGTGGCATTCGAAGATAAAAGTAGTACTTGATTGTTATCCGTAAAATGGTAAAATATTATTAGATATTTTAAACAATTTTAGTAGGTACCACCAAATAGTGTCCCTTAGCACCGGACACTAAGTCGTCGACAGTAAACATATTGATATTTCTTGTGAGAATTGAAGTAATTTATTCTAATTATTTAATTTTGTTCTGTATGAGTGCTAACGGTCACAACATACCCCCATTTTTCGTATTTCCTAGTCAAAGAATGAAAATCTTATGGTAAATGCTCCAGCTGAGAGCATCGGTGTGGCCCAGCCAAAAGGGTGGATGAATAGTGTTTTTTTTGCAATATCTAATAATAAGAATATTCGTCAAACACACATGTGCAGACATTCCAGAGTGTGGAGATTGCTACATATGTGTTCAATGCTGGTTATTTTGAAATGTCCGGTACTAGGTGCCACTTTGTAAAATCACATTTTTTGTTACCAAAGTTTGATTGATTGTATTAATTATTTTAGCAAAGGTTCCGTTTTTGTTAATTTCAGTATTTTCACGTATACATATAATTTACTTTTCTCCCACCTAGCTAGTAAATTAACAAAGTTATGACCGATCGATAAAAAAGTGGCACAACCGTAGCCAGATTCTCCTACTAGCCAGTGACATACTTTTTTTATTTATCATTAAAAACATACATCATGCTTATAATTTGAATTTATTGTATAAATAATTTTATATTGAATACTAAATCCATATACTATAAAAATAATAAGGTAGTCCCTGTCTCCACGTCTACAATAACTCTTTCCTTCCCGCAAGTGACTTGCAGATGATTTCACTCGGGGATTTACTGAAGGTAGTCGCCCTGTTTGCTACTGATATCATGTCTACATGTGCGAAATAATGTCGTGTAATTAATTATATCTTCCGCGATCTAGCATTAATTGCACGCATAAAGAAAAGATTTAAACCGCAATCTCCTGAGTGATCACAGCAATAATTTTAATACTGTGAATTATGTTCTGCTTAACGATATGTGACGTGTTGCGGTGGTGGTTTTCGTGAAATCATTTAAGGGTAGAATTGCAGCCAATGATAATGATGATGGAATGATAATCTATTCGGTTAATATTATTTTAAAAGAAATCAATTTTTGTTAATGAAGGTAATATGGGCTATATTATAAAAACCGAACATTTTGAAAGTAAAATAAATTACGCTAACACGTATTTAAAATAACTGCATATCAGTCTATAAAATAGATTATACTTCACTTACTATTAAATAATTGCATGGTGTAATTACTTTTTATTTTGTTAATACTTCATGCATTTCATTAAGATCTGAATGCACAATTACGTTAGTATTTTGAAAATATTCTCTGATTATACAAAATAACGCTTTACAGATAAAATGATAAAAAACTCAGTTTAATTTCCAAAGATTACCTATTATGTGAAGATAATAAGGACATGAAGTTTAACTAAATATATCCATCATAATATTAAACTTTTATTTACTTTACGTAAGAAACTTTGAAACGATCAGATAAAAATAAATTCGTCAAAGTTTTACTTATAGTTTAATTAAGTTTGATACAGACGTTTCTGTGGCAGTATATTTAATTATAAAAGTTCTGTTTATAAAAACAAGTGATCCTGAACATTCAGTGTTATTTTTAATTTAATATTTGAATGTTAGAATAAAACAATATTACAAACTTTGTTTCTTGAATAATTATGGGTTAGTTAGGCTATCTATATCTTTTTGGTCCAAAAATTTCTGAATTCCCGAAGGAGAAGTTTATGTTTCCATCAAAAAATCCGATTCGCTAATCTTATGTTTTCTCGACGTTTCAAGCCATTCTGAATGGAATGAGATCAAATTTGGAAAAAGTATGTGTGTGTGTGTATGTGAACAGATTTTTTGCCGTAAATCGACGTAAAACGGCTGTACCGATTTCAAAAATTTAATAGCCATTCGATGTATCTTGATGAGGACTATCGTTTGTCAGTTTTGTGCGATGATCGGCCGAGACGTTTCTTTATAAATAGCAGAAAAGAGAAAATTTTTTCGTCCACGTTTTAGCCCGCAATTTTGAATTGATTATAAAAATTCACAAACCGTTCGAAAGATATTGGTTGGGAATCGTGCTGATTAGTTTTTGGTAAAGATCGACCGGGCCGTTTTCTTGTAATAAAGTGTTAAAAAAAAAAATTCGACAACTTTTATTATTATTTTTTTGACGGTAGATACCATAGTCTTCTAGATCATACTAAAATATTACGGCCCTACGAGAATTGGTTTAACTTTAAAAATTCGTCAAAGTTTGCGAATCAACGTGGTAAACTTTTCGCCCACATTTAAGCTCATTCTACCGAATCGATTTTAAAAAATCAAAAACTGTTCGAAAGATATTAGTTTGGAATGATACTGATTAGTTTTATTGGAAAGTCTACCGAGCTTGTAATTAATTGTTGAAAAAAAATTCAGCCGATTTTTATGGAACTTTTTAGCGATATATATCATGGTCTTTAAGAACTTACTGAAATATTACGGCCCTACGACAAGTTAAAAATTTATCAAAGTTTGAGAAAATGAGTAGTTTTTTGACGTTAGCTAAAATTAAAATTAGATGATATACTTGGTATAATATTAGAGTACTTGTTCTTAATGAACCTACTAAGCCATTAAAGTACTACGGAAACTGGTATATTCTCTCTATTCTATATTATAACTCAATTATAAAAATGGTTGACTTTTGAAAATTTTGCTTTTAGAAAATACTACTAAATTAAAAAATGAATGTATGTGTGGCGTGTATGTATGTATGTTTTGATACAATTTTTTGTCCACGATTTCGGGCGCACGGATCAACCGATTTTTTTTTTAAATTGTTTCAATAAAATTTTCGAAACTTCTAAGATCGATATTTTATCACGTTCGTCTTTCATTAAAATCGATATTTCACAGAAATCTCATCCCTAGCAAAGTCTAAGATAGTTGAATTTTCAGTTTGCAGAGGTTTGCGAATCGAACGAGACGTTTATATTGCATTAAGTAATAATCTTATCTTGTTACGTCTTACAGATCGTCACTTGATTTAATTAAAACATTCGAAGCGCGAAGTACTGGGCGCTCCGGCTCAGCCGTCAACAGTCGCACCTGCGATGCGTTCGGGAAACTTTTACCTTGCGTTCAAACCTTAAATCCAACTGATGTTATCCCAATACAAAATCCCATCAAGCTCTAAATCGTTATATAATTAGTTCAATGGTAATTAACGCAATACGCAGAATGAGGTGCGAATTTAGAAAACACGAAGGAAATGTTTAAGCTGGTTCTATTGTAATGGTGCGACAGACAAATTGTCATTAAAAGACGATCATTGTAAAATAAGTCTAAATAAAGCTTAAGAGTGGTATAAATAGCAGTTGTATCATGTTTATTATTAGGCGTTTGACTTCTGAAGATTGTGAATGAGTGTATAAGCAAGGTTTTGTCAGAACGATATAATTAATTTTACTAGAATATTTAAGGTGTTTTTATGTTAGTTTTTAAAAGACTGGTGTATTAAAAACTACTATAACTAAAAAAGAGTGCGCGTAAGGTTTACCCGCGATTGATGTAAAACTTATTTGCTACTGTGTGTGTACGCTTATATTTTTTTTACATTTTTGCTGGCGATATAATCTCATTCTTTGAACAACTGTAATATCTGTCTTGCCTACAAAATATTTTTCATTTCAATAACTTCAAAGATTTATAGAAACTACGAATAATATAGAAATAATTTCTAATCAAAAACTTATGTTTGGTGCACGGCACAAATGTTTAATTTGTTTTATTATTTTCAAGGAACAGAATAAAATATTCTTCTGATTCAAGCATTTTTCATTGAATCAAGATTTATACTACCATGTAACTTTAAAATGTTTATTTATCATACAACGACAGAATTCTATTCATATGCACGACGACTAATCATAATCGACCCGTATAGAAATGATCTCATCGAGAGTGAATGACGAACAGTTCGGGCGTAACGGACTTCCGTTGCATTTGCCCGAATTTATTTTGATCTAGTTGCGCCTAAAGAAGTTTTACTTCAATAATTATTATAATATGCTAAATGAATAAAACAAATGAAAAGTTTAATTTACTCGTACATACATAAGGACTAAAATACTTTAAATATTAAATATTGTGGCAATGTTAGGTCTAATAATAAGTAACTTTTGATCAAGTAATAAAAATTGTAGTACGTTCTCCTCTATGATATGAAAATAACCATTACACAGAAGTGCTAACCGATGCATAAATTTGGATTTTATAAAATTCATAATGATGCTGACTCATTAATATAATAGATAATGTAATATGTCTCAAAAATGTGTTTTGTCAAGATTTCAATAGAAATTTAGACAATTTAGAGTTTTGGTTAAACAAAAACGTACTAAAAATTACCAGAAAATTAAATGTATATATTTTATATTTCATCCGAGCACACATACTAATTAATTGTAAGTATTGTAATAATATTCATTAAATTTAATTAATGCGCGGCGATGTCGATTGTCGACTTGAAAATATAGATTAAATATGTTTCTAATTAAAAATTTCGGGGAAAAATGGTCACTTTTTTATTATATTTAATTAATATGTTTAAAAATCTAAAAATATCTACAAGCACACACTCATAAATATATATGTTTTATGAAATTAAAAAAAAATTACTGACCTTTTAGTGCCGGACAGATTCGTTTCCAAATGGTAAGGCAACCGCAACGATGAAATTGTCCAAGAGCCAGTTCCATATAAAATAAGGGAAGACCGCCAAATATCAGCATAATGCAATAAGGAATCAAGAAAGCACCTGAAATATAAAGAAAAATATTAATTTTATTTAATAATATTGTGTAAATGATTATATTATTGAAATACAGTAGAATCTCGCTAATCTGACACTTCGATGAACCGACACGTCCAATAATCCGACACTACTAGTAATCGAAGCACTGGACAGTTTTTTGGAAATGATCTGGAAATTTTTCCTCTATTTCCAAAAACTTGTGACTATTTCACTATATTCCAATAATACGAACATTTCACTAATCCGACACCTTCCATTTTTGACGGTGTCGGATAAGCAAGATTCTACTGTAATTTGTCATAAGTTGAACTTTTAATATAGATAGAACATTAAGAATAAAATGTACAATTACAAGTCGAAATGCATGCATCTAATGAATACTCTAATAAAATTATGAGAAAATAAACTAATAACTCATAGAAAGATTATATTATGCATTGTTGATATGATAGTGTTAATTTAAATTACAATGGTATTAATTGAAGTAATAAACAAAATACGTAATGTTTTATAATAAATGTATTATATAAAATAATAAATGTAATGTATTATATAAATCAAATTAAATAAAAAATTAAAAATTAAAAATATAAAAATATAAATCAACTTAAATAAAAAATTAAAAACTAATATCAAATCACTACCAGATTTGAAACAGTTAAGTATAATCAAGAAACACAATGCCAACAAATTGCAAAACAAATCACATCAATACATAAATTGAATCAACCGAAAGATATATGCAATTGAAATTACCTCCTCCATTCTGATAGCATATATAAGGAAATCTCCAAACATTTCCCAGATCCACAGCAAACCCAATAACAGCCAACAGAAACTCGACCTTTTTTCCCCAGGTCTCGCGCCTTCGTTCCGGTGTCAACGATACGGTCAGTACGCGCTTCGAAAAAATAAGAGACACTTGAAATTAATGAATTTTTATAAAAGAATATTTTGAGAAAATAATTTATTAGTCCTTGTTTGTTAAAATTTTGCTAAAATGTTGCTAATAGTTTTTTGATAAAGTTATTTCAGCATATTATAAAAATGTATATAAGATTTTATACTAACAGAAGAAAGCATTTAAGAAAATAATCAAGTTTTCACCTGAATGCATCAAAATAATACTCCAAAATCAAAGTAACTCTTTCTTAAAAACAACGGCTTGAAACATAACGGGATAATATCTTTCAAGTACTTGTTGCTGAAAACCCTTAATTTATCGATAAGAATTTTCATCAACATTTAAATCTGTGTTAAACTGATAATGCTCTTGAATTAATTGATTTAATAATCACACGCAATTAGGATAAACAATTTTATAGAATCGCAAAGGTGAAAGGCTATCTGTATATCAATGATTTATTTCATTTATTCTTCACTTCATGAACATTGTTATTACTTCATTAGACATTAGTTTTTATTTCACCTTCATTCTTATGATAGATAGTTTTGAATGTTTAGAAAAACATGTAATATATAATTTCAATTTTGAATCAGTAGGGGAGACTGGGTACAGTTATGCTACTTTTTTGATTGGCCATAATTTTGTTAATTTACCAGTTAGCTGCGAGAAAAGTAAATTAATAGTAATTTGAACATTTGTCTACGTGGAAATACTGAAATACTGTCGAATAAATTAAATTAGTCATAAAATCAAATCATACAAAAAAGGGCCAGTAGCACAACCGTCCACAAGCACAGGGACGGTTGTGACAGTCATAAAAATAATTTAAAAACAATAGCTATGAACACCAAAATGGTTCACATATTGCCATTAATAACAATCGTGCACCCCAAAATTTGTCACAATCGTACCCAACGCATCCTTTTAGGTACAAATCATCATTATGACTAAGCTAAATTTTCTAATCAAAAACTAACAGCTGGTAAATAACCATGCTCAACTTACTTACTTATATAAATAATAAAAATATATACTTTAAGTATTTATAGCTTATATTTTAAGCAGAAGAGTAAAATGAATAATCTTAAATCCATTGCAATAATAAATTGTAGTGTTCACTTGTACTTTTAAATATTCATCGATCCCATAATTCAATCACGATGTTCTGCCGGAATTCCAGCGCGCTAACTTTTCTTAACATGCGTGGATAAAAAGATTTTTCACTTTGCACAATAATCATAAATATTCTTTGCGAATCTCCTGAAACTTCTAGAAGTATTTAAACTTTATAGAATTTTTTTGTTGCGTTCTTTATAATTATTTTCTTTGAAGTTGAATATTTCATAGGTAATTTATCGCATACTTGGCTCGTTTTTTTTTGTTATATTAAAAGTTGTAATCCGATATGCATAACTTTGCGATTTAATTGTCAATATTAGAGATATGAGTAGGAATATTTTAATGCTTTGTTTTGATCTCAATTTCATTTAATTTCATACAGATCATATTTTTGCAAGAATCATCAGCACTTTGAAAATTTATCGCATCTATTTCATAAAACAATACATTAAACTACTACAATGTAGATTTTATATTTTAGAATAATTGCATTACATATGTAAGATGCAATCACGTTCTAAGGTTCCATATATATAATTCTATTTACTCATATGAGCGTAATTCATAATGAATTTCTATCACGATTTTTCAAGCACTTTCTCATAAAATGCAAATAAAATTGCATAGAAACGCTAAAGATTCTTAGTAGATTTTATGACTTATTCCGTATATTTCTGTTCAGCTTATATCATTGTCTTCAGCTAACTTTATCATTATATGCTCATAAAGTCATAACATAATTTTTTAATGACCATTATATAGGTCACGAATTTTCAATTCATATAATATAGGTAAAATAATATTTCTACATGCATATGCCGGTTTCTATTGAAAGAATTAGAAATAATCGAGAAGAAAATTATTTTGTTTACTAATTAACAAAATTTTGAATATCAGTATAAACGAAGTTTATGACAAAAATTACTAAATATTGTATTTATAAAAAATGATATATAATAAAAGAAGCACTTTTTATATTTTTCAAAATGGTTTGAGACACACTTTTAGTTTTAGTAAAGTGTAGTGTAATGTACTCATAACAGTACATGTATCACTTTACTATGGCAATGTTCTATCCGTTGCTTTTATTTAATAAATAAAATCATAACAGCATGTTTTACTTATGCTTATAAATAGTGTTTTTGAGCTCTAAGTTTCGTTTATTATATTGAACTTTCGTTCAACTTTTGATTTAATAATATTATGCAGATATCACCAATTTTCACCTAAATGAAGTACATAATTAGTGAAAGATTTGAGATAAATAACATTATTGGCAGTAATGGCAATATATTTTATATAACCGAGTCGAGTCTGTATGTTTATAAATTATTTTATTATTGATTTTTAAAATATATCATAAATTATTTAATTGATACTTTAATACACTTTAGTATTAGGGGACATATAGCAATTAAAATTTTGAATATGTAATTACATTTTTTACAACATCAGACGTATTTTGCACCAAATTCATACTTTCGAGATATAAATAAACTCAAAGAATTCCATGATATATAAAAACCACAATTTAAAAAAACACTGTATTATTATTATAAGCATTATGCGTTTGGTGTTAATCAGTTATTATTGTGATTCATATATAATATAACGTATTATTATTAAATATATTTAGACAATTATTAACTTCCCGTAGGGCTAAGTTATAGTAATCGCAAAAAAAATCGAAAATGAAAATTTTTATATATCTTTACGTTTCAAACGTTTCTGAATATTTTAGAAAACTTATTAGTCTTAGAAAAAATGGATGTATGTGTGTGTCGACGATTTCGGAAACAATGATCAACGGATTTGAATAATTCGAGAAACATTCGATTCGTATTGATAAAGAAACGTGCTGATTAGTTTTTGGCGAAGGCAGGTCTAGCCGTTCCGAAGATACGAGGCAAAAAGTGCCGAAAACGGTAACTCAGAGATCATAACAATAAGTATAAATTTTGTTTACATTCCTATGGGTTCCTTACCAATGCTTATCCGTCAGACGGCGGCGCGGCGTTTACGCGCTTTGACATTTCGTCTCTATGCAGTTAAAGCAGTACGATTACTTTGAAAAAAAAGTTCAGATTTTGCAAAATATGTCAAAATAAAGAAAACGTTTTTTTCCAATTTTTTTTTTCAAAAAAGTAATTTATTGTCAAATAGTACCTCAAAAATCTAATTTTTTCGAAGTAATTTTTTTTCAAAAATGTTAATCGTTTTTAAAAAAAAACAATTTTTGGTACGGGAAGTTCCAGCAATTTGCCTTAAGGCACGATGCTATGCACCCCACTAGTTATTATTACTATCTACAAATATGCTCATAACAGCAAATGCAGGATTTAATAAAAACACGTGGATTATTGAGGACAATTTATACTTCTTCTATCTATGATTTATATTTTCTCTAACCTGTGTTACATCCGGCTTAGTGAGCGCCGTGTTTCCCGGAATATCCTCGTATCCCGTCGGAGTCTTAGCTTTCGCCGGCAAAGCGCCGTCCGGTTCCTCGGGGGCATCTGGTTCGCGGAGCGGCTGCTGTTCGCCGGGCTCAGCTTCACCTTCGTACTTCGTGCTGGACATCGTGTCCTTTAGCGCTTTGCTACCATATCTCGAGAAACTGCAGCTGGAATGAATTATAGGGTTTGAGCTTAATAATACGTAACTACATGAAAATCATTAACAAAAATTCTTTATTTTGGAGGGAAAAAAGCTGAATGTAATTCTTTTCTTAAATGCATGAAAATATTGAACGGTTTCAAAAGAATGCTTTATTTTTTTGCAGAAAAAAAATTGTATGGAATTTTACGTTTTAAGTAATTATATACCATGATCACAAATATTTTTCTTATTTATTTATATTCTAATTCTAGGGCAATTTCTTTTCTAGGTGAGTGCATTTATTATTGAAAAGTATATTTCAGTTTGTACAATTATTTGAACTATTTGCTTTAATAATTATTATGATGTTTGAAGAATATAATCACTCGTTAGTCGTATCATTTATAATTATAACATTACATTAGATTATTATATATCAAGTATTATAAGTGATAAAATGAAATATTAGATTTAATAACATTTTACAATAGACAATCATAATCAATTATGTTATATAAAACCAATAATTTTGCCATATATTTTTAACTTCCCGTAGGTTAAGTTATTGTAATCGTCCAAAAATCGAAATTAAAATTTTTTTGCATTTCTCGACGTTTTGAAGGTTTCTGAACATTTTGGCATACCTCAGAAAAAATAGATGTGTGTGTATATGTATGTATGGATACAATTTTTCGATCAAGTTTTCGGGCGCACGGATCAACCGATTTCAATGGTTCAAAAAACATTCGATTCCTATTGATAGGGAGAAGAGCTGATTAGTTTTTGGCAAAGGCAGGTCCAGCAGTTCGAGTTTTTGAGAGAACGGAGCATCCGATTTGAATGTTCTAAAAAAAAATCAATTAGTAATGATTGGCCGAAGTGTTTATCAGATTTTGGCAAAGGCAAGCCAAGCCATTTCAAAGATACAGAGCTAAATGTGCAAAAAATGGCAGTTTTTGAGGGAACTAAGCGTCCGATTTAAATGATTCAAAGAACTTTCTGCTTGTTTTAACAAAATAATTGATTTTGGGAAAAAAATTGACGCAATATTTTCTTTTCATTTTTTTTTAGAATTTTTTTTCTGCGAAAATAATTCAGATTTTATTTTTAATTCTGACTAAAGTTCTAATATACTTTAAACAAATAATTTCAACTTTGCAATTCAGTTTATATAACTCTTATAAAGATTAGACATTGTTACAATATTAATAATAATCTATTTCAAATCTATATTCCTCGAACATTTCGTTACGGTACGGGAAGTTCCAGCAATTTGCCTTAAGGCACGATGCCATACACCCCACTCATTTTTATTTTCTTCAGCCATTAAAAAATCTGCAGATATAGACTTTTATAAATATGATATAGACTAAATTTATATGCAACAGGTATTGGTTTGATATTAGTATAATATAAAACTGATATTTTGTTGTTAGTTCGTCAAAAACTTTAAATATCAAAGCAAATATTTTCTTATCATGAATTTTACTTTTTACTAAATCAATATATTCTTTTTTTTATAAATATAATAAAATATATACTTTGTGTGATTTGAAATTAAAAGAGAGTGTTATAGCTGAATTACATTTATAATATCCGACTTTGCACATATAAACAAAATAAATACCTAAGATTAAACTTTTAACTAAAATTTTGCTAATTTTAAATTCCAGTTCGAACGGTTTTTGAAATTATTTTACTGTGCACTCCCTCACCGACAGAATGATGGCACAAACTAAAGCTTCTTGAATCGCACAAAAACGCATTTGCAAACCCAAAACCCCACTAAATATTTTTTCTAAAAGCGATCGTGAGTAATCAATCAAAATCTCACTAGTACAAGAGCATAATAATTCGTGTAGATAATAGAAGCACTGTTTTACATCTGAATAACTCTTCCGAAATTCCTCGCATTCCCGAAAGAATTCTTCCGAGCTATGGCATCTGACAAGATCTTTTGTTGTCCGTACAAACAAAATAAAAAAAAATGACCGCAAACTGATTTATCTTACTCGATGGTTCATTTCAAAAGTTAAATTATGTTAATTCGATGTCTAAAGGTCTTACCTAAGACACGTACATTTTGTTTGCGTGCAATTGAGTAAAATATGTCGGCAATTTATTCATTGTTGTCTGATGTGGCGCGTTTTTGGAATATTTTCATGTAACGAGCAGCATCCGGACATCGATCATGTTCTGTCATGTTTTATATAAATATTTTACATGTAAAGCAAAACATTGTATTGTTAGTGCGAAACGGTTAATTGTACGAATCAGAGTCGAAAAGGCGCGAATGCAAATAAGGCATATATTAGATGTTAGTCACTTCAGAAATAATTAAGTAATTCAGAGATATTTATTAAAAAAGAGATAATATTTTCTAAATATAGTGAATTCTGTGACTATTTTGATAAAATATTATTAATGCAGAAAAGCTCACATTTTGATACATCATAAAATTGTTCCTACACTGTCAATATAAAATATTTGTTATTAAGTTAATCCTATGATTCTGCAAAAATTATAAAATGACAGAAGAAATTAAATTAAGCTCACTTACTTATCGTTTCAAAAACATAGAAATATTTGTTATTTTATTGAATAGAATTTTTAGTTTGATTGCATCACTAATGTCTGTAGGGGGAAGTACCCAAGTGCCGGACACCTAAGGTTATTTATACATAATTCAAGAAATATTTTACGAAATGTTTATTAAATTATAACTTATGTTATATAACAAAGTTAGAAATCAAACTAAATTAACAAAAACGCAAACATTGCTGAAAAATAATAAATACTATCAATCAAACATTGGTAACACAAAATATAATTTTCGAAAGTGGCATCTAGTATCGGGCATTTCAAAATAACCTGCATTGAACACAAAAAATATGTAGCCATCTTCACACTCTGGAATGTTTGCACATGTGTGTTTGACGAATATTCTTTGATATTGCAAAAAAAATCACTATTTATAGAGTGTCCGGCATTAGGTGCCGTCCGGCGTTACGGGACTTCCCCCTACTTTAACTAATTGTAAACTAATTATTATAAATGATACGACTAATAAACGTATATTTACTCATATTCACTTTTACTTGTATTTATTTATACTTTTATGAACAAATAGTTCCAATAATTGTAAAGTATTATTGAAACTCCGTAATTTTCTAAATTAAACTACGAACTAAAATATACTTTTTAATAAACGTACTTGTAGGAAAAGAAATTTTCCTACAATTAAGGAAAATATGTTGAACATATATATGATCCATAAAAATTAATAATTTTAAAAATTTTATAGTAATTTTGAAATACATAGAATCGCCTATAAAATGAAAGCCTCAAAAATAAACAATTAGAAAATCGTATTGTACCGTAAAGTATTTCAAATACTGTTATAATATGATCATTATTTTGATGCTAGTGAAAAGACAGTTTATACAAATAAAATTAATAAAATAATAGGCATTTGTTGATATACATTTATCTCAATATCTGCAAAAACGATTTATAACATGCTTTCGGGATATTGAAAAGCCTATTATTGCACATACAAGAATACTTATGTGTAATATTGTGACAAGAGTTTTATCAGTAAACCGATTTTTATTTTCAGGAAAAAATATTCGAACGTTTTATATAAACCGATGGCAATTCGAGCAATTTCCTTAAAAGCGCTTTGTGAAATTATAACTGAATGCATGTTTCAGATCACTTTTATCCTGCGTGTGGATAGAACTTCAAAGGAATTTGATAACATTAGAAAGATAGGAAGTTTTATATTTATTTTTAAAAATATTTAAATACAACGATTGATTAAATTGATACATTAGTAAAAATATAAAAATGGTAAAATTATAGCTGAATGCATGTTTCAGATCACTTTTATTCTGCGTGTGGATAGAACTTCAAAAGAGTTTGATAACATTAGAAAAAAGCAAGGTTTATATTTATTATTAAAAAATATTTAAATACAACGATGTTTATTATAAAATTGATGTATTAGTGAAAAATTCCCAGCAATTTGCTTGAAAGCATTTGGTGAAATTATAAAAGAATGCATGTTTTAGATCATCCTTATCCTGCATGTGGATAGAACTTCAAAAAGAATTGGTTAACATTAGAAAAATAGTAAGGTTTATATTTATTTTTAAAAAATATTTAAATATAACGATGGTTAATATAAAATTGATAGATTAGTAAAAAATTAACTGAAGGCAATTCCAGCAATTTCCTTGAAAGCGTTTGGTGAAATTATAACAGAATGCGTGTTTCAGAACACTTTTATGCTGAGTGTGGAGATAAGTTCAAAAATAATTTGATAACATTAGAAAAATAGCTAGGTTTATATTTATTTTAGAAAAATATTTACATACGAAAATGATTATAAAATTGTTACATTAGAAAAAATAACAGAAGGCAATTCCAGCAATTTCTTAGAAAACGTTTGGTAGTATTATAAAAAAATGCTTATTTCAGATTACTTTTATCCTGCGTATAGATAGAACTTCAAAAAGAATTTGATAACATTAGAAAAATAGGAAGGTTTATATTTATTTTTAAAAATATTTAAATACAACGATGATTATTATAAAATTGATAGATTAGTAAAAAATTAACCGAAGGCAATTTCAAGAATTCTCTTGAAAGCGTTTGGTGAAATTATAATAGAATGGGTGTTTCAGATCACATTTTTCCTGCATGTTATAGTTATATCCAACTTAAAAAAATGGATGAGATTGAAAAAATAGCAATGTTAAATTTATTTTTATAAAATATTTAAATACAACAAAGATTATATTAAAACTGATAAATTAGTAAAAATACAACTTGTTTTTAATTGCATATCATCATCACATGGACTTAGATAAACTATTGATTAGAGCAGCGGTCGGAAAACTTTTTAATCATTACCCAATTTTTTTGGTCTATGTTGATATTACCCCCATCGCAAAAGAGATAACCCCCCATATGGACAACTATGTAGCAAATA